ATGTAAAGGTCAGTATCTGTTTTACATTTGGTGAATGAAAATCAGAAGTTTATTTTCCTTCTCCTAATATCCCCTAGTCTTACATTGTGTTCATAATCTTAAACATATCCAGATATATAGACAGCCATGATGAAGTTGCAGGTTGTGTGGCTAATACAGTCACTGATTTGCAAAGTTAATCCCAGGCTAGCATAAAATATGTTATCAGTGTGTTTAAACATGTAGACATGATGGCTGAGAGTACAAAGACGTCTCTCATTTTGTCTGTATTACCATTTATACTGGTATTTTTACAGCATAAGCATTTCCTCACATTGCATGGAGAATGTCTAAACTGTATGAAAGCAGATTTTGATGAATCCATTAGCATTTATTAAAAAATCAGATCCCGGTACAGGGCCAGAAGTGTATGTTTGCCGGGCGGTGGTGGCGCACGCCTTTAATCCCAGTACTTGGGAGACAGAGGCAGGCAGATCTTTGTGAGTTCGAGGCCAGCCTGGTCTACAAAGTGAGATCCAGAAAGGGTGCAAAGCTACACAGAGAAACCCTGTCTCGAAAAACCAAAAAAAAAAAAAAAGGGGGGGGGAATTAAAATACATTAATCAGAGATGTTTTCTACAGTGCCAACAATTTTTACAAATTGTAGCTGTAAGTTAAAAATATTCAGAGAGTGTGAAAATCACTATAATTGACACAACTACAATTGCTGACTGGGTTCCTGCATTTTCAAGGTTTCAGGTTTATCACACACTGTACCACCTTCAATATGCTTTCAATGCTAGTTCAATAGACATGTTACAAACTGTGAAATGTCAGTCTAATGTAAATATTATTTCTTTAATAAAGTTTCATGAAATGTGATATGGTGAATAAATTCTTAAAAGATTTTTCATTACCTAGATTTTAGACTGCAATGTGGACATTTTCATTTATACTTATACAATATTTCCACAGTAGATAAAGTAGGACCATGTGACCAACCTCCTGAACTCCTCAATGGGGAAGTTAAGGGAACAAAGAAAGAAGAATACAGCCATGATGACGTGGTGGAATATGTTTGCAATCCTAGATATCTACTGAAGGGACCCAATAAAATCCAGTGCGTTGATGGGAAGTGGACAACCTTGCCGATATGTGTTGGTAATTAAAGCATTAATACATAAATATTGTTTTGTATCTTTGTATGTGATGTCTTAATCATAAATACTCATTTGTGAAACAACTACAGAGGAGAAGAGAACATGTGGAGACATACCTGAACTTGAGCATGGCTCTGTACACTTTTCTATTCCTCCCTACAATCATGGAGAGTCAGTGGAGTTCACCTGCTTGGAAACATTCACAATGATTGGAAGCGGGTCAGTTTCATGTATTAATGGAAGGTGGACCCAGCTTCCTAAATGTGTTGGTAAGTCTATGTGCCTCAAATTGATACTTTATAAATTTTAATGTTTTATTTGCAGAGATATTCGCTATGATATATTTCTGAATTTAGTACTGTTTTACTCCCCATGGGAGACCTTGACTCAAAAAATCTAGTCTTAAACAATATGAATCCAAACTT